TTGTTGATATGTCATGTCATTGTGGAGTATTTGAGACTCAAAGTTACACGAGTTTACTATGTTTAGCCCTAAATTAGTGTGTTACACACAAAAAAGTTAATATCTTATATTGCTGATCTTTTATCACATGAATTTCCCAGACATGAATCGAAGAGAATTTTACAACAAACAGCTAAGTTCATTTAATAAAAAAAATAGACTATAACATATACTTGCTATCTCCTACCTGGCATGAAAAAAAAAATATTTCATGGAACTATTTACAATTCATTTTTATTGCTAATGTCAATATTTATTTTAGATAACAAATGTATCATCAATCAACTCAACTGCCTTGCATCAATCAAGAAATGTGCAAATTAATATAATAGACTATTTTGTGGTCAAGTAGTCTATTTTATTACTATATTAATAGACCCACTATCCATCAAAAATATATTTTACTCCTATGCTAATGTCAATATTTTACTTTAAATTTTAACTAGATAACAAATGGTACCATCGATTAACACCATTCATTACAATTGACCAAGAAATGCACAAATGATGTAATTATTAATATAACAGATTATTTTGTGGTCAAATAGTCTAATTCGTTACTATATATAAAACATATAAATAGACTGACTCACTATCCACCAAAAATATATTTTGTGGAAATACACTTTGTTTCTATTGCTAATGTCAATATTTTATTTCGAATTTAACTAGATAACAAATGGTACCATCAATTAACACCACTACAATCAACTGTCTTGCATTGATCAAGAAATGTGCAAATAATGTAACTATTTGTGGTCAGGTAGTCTAATTTATCACTATAAAGCATATAAATAGACAACATATATTTCATGGAAATAAATTTGGAGTACATATGTGTTTCTATTATATATATATATATATATACTAATTAATGTCATTTGAATTTAATTAGATAACATCAAAAATATATTTTGTGGAAAATATATATGCATTTCTATTATATACTGATATCAATTTATTTAGAAGAAAATAAAGTAAGTTACATGAATAAATGAATTAATGAATAAATAAATATAAATAGATAAATAAAATAAATAAATAAACAAATAAACAAACAAATAAACAAATAAAATAAATAAATAAATAAACAATTAATTAATTGATTAATTTAATTAGATTCAAAACTATGCAATACACCATTGGGAATTCTTCTATGAGAGCGGTATCTCTTTACTGCATATTCTGCAGCAACATGAGTCAATCCTTCCCTATATGCATCCATATACCTGAACGATCTACATGCATATTTTCTTATAGATGAAATCGGGATAGAGTTCAAGGCCAAAGGTACTGTTTCCAAAAGTCCATTCCAAGTGTAATTACAATTTTCCCTCGTATATCTTTTAACTGCACCCCAATACATCTCAATAAAATTTAGTTCACAATGGAACTTAGGGTAGAAAACCACCATATGTCCCATTTCTTCAATCTCTTCTTGGATGATTCCTTTTTGTGCTTGGAAATCAGGTTGTAGTTCTAATATTTTTAAACCACAACAATCAGACCTTCTATTTTGATCCCTTAATTTCCTGGTCTTACACTCAGAACATACTTTCCTCAAACCGTTCCTATATAATCCCCTTTCTTCTAATACTGTCTTCATTCCTTTTTGTTTCCCTCTTAGATTAACTTCAATATAGTCATCAGGGTAAACCATCTTTTGGATCCTGCCATTGAACATAGTGTCTCTCATATGTGGTTGTTTTCCACCATCATTCCAGCCCATTTTGGACGCAACTAAAGCATCTTCTGCAAATGCAGCATGGCTAGTTGCATTATCAAAGGCAAACAGTGCCACATGATCTTGGTGTGTTGCTTCAAAAATCGGAATTGCTTTTTCTTTTATTTGTTTTAATAGTTTATCATTGGTCCACCATCCTTCATTATTAATTCCTGGTGTAAGATATTCAAAGCTATGTGAAGGTAAATTAGGAAACTGGGCTTTTTGGCTTTCATTTAATTGCAAAGGTCCAATTGTTTCTGTTAAAAAGCCACTAACATGATATGCCCTCCCTTTTCCTTTTTTTCTTAACAGGTTTTCACCTGATGGTCCCCAACCCTTGCTTTTACCTTCATTTGAATAGAAGGTTGATTCATCATGTGTTACTAAAATTCTCATTTTAGCATCACCTTCTAAAATAGGATCAACTCTATCTTTTAAATCAACACCCTCAAATTTGGGAGCATAAGGTTCGTATTCCTCTTCCATAAATTTTAAAAACCTACTTCTATATTCTACAACATCAGGTCTCTCATGACCATCGGCATACAACCCCTTTCTGTAAGTATCAAACTTCCATCCCAATTTTTTAAGCCATCTTGTAGCAGTTGATTCAGATATTTTTTTGTTTTCATTTTCTACACCTACTTGAGGCAGTATTGTGTCATTAACAAATTCACATAATTTTTTAGGTGTTATTTCAAATTTATTGGATCTCAAATGGCATCCTATCTGAGCGGCAATGTCTTCATGATCCAATAAGCTCTTTATTTTGGGATGTTTTCCTCTCCTAGAAGTAGGTACTGTTTTGTTTTTGACCCATTGATTAGCCCAAACTCTAATACATCTCCCTTTATAAATTTTCGCCCACCCTAGGGATGCTGCTACTGTTTCACTTGCTTCAACCCGTTTTTTACCATCACCCAAATGTCTAAGATACATTCCAACCGCCATTAATCTGGTCTTTTCATCATTGGCTAAGTCAGGTCTTTTAAGAGCTTCTTCAACAGAACTTATTGGATTTTCATCTTCGGAATTCATATCATCTTCGAAATTCATATAATCTTCAAAGTTCATATCATCTTCATCTGCTGATTCATTGCTTTCCAATTCTTTGGGTTGGTCTCTACTGGAAGTTTGGTAATTAAAAAAATCAGTAATTCTGGAAGATCCAACAGCAGCAATTCTCAACTCCCTGGCATGTCTCTGCTGTGTTCGTATTGAATCTTTGAAATAAAAAGTCCTTGTAATGGGTTTTTCTTTGGGTGCCTCCTTCACCTTTTCATGTACAAGAGTAACATTATCATCTCTATCCATATTTATGTCTTCCCAGGATTCACTACCGTCAGAAGTTGAATCAGATTCAGTTTCCACTTCTGATTCAATTTCTGAACTCAAATCTTCATTTAAATCCATATCAACATCATCAGTATTTGGGTCATTATCTATGTTCGTTGGATTACTTTTTTTTTTATTACCTTGGGCTAGTTTTTTGATTTGAATTTGTCTTTGGGTAAGTCTGCCCATTTTAAGATGTTTATATTTAAGAAAATTAAGGTAATAATTAGGAAAATGTTTAAATCAGGAAAAGAAATTTGATTTTTAATAATATAGTGATAATATATACTTGGTAAGAAATATTTATTAAAGAAATATTTATTTTTTAATTAGATTTTTTAATATTATAGCTTGGTAAAAACATCTCATATTTATATTCAAAATTTTATGTGATTTAATTATTTCTTTAATTCCAATTCAACAAATAATATTTTATTGTTTTTTCTCTATATAGATCGTTAAACATTGATAAAACAAAAGACAAAAATCGGGATTATTGTATGATTTAATGATTTAATTATTTCTTTAATTCCAATTCAACAAATAATATTTTATTGTTTTTTCTCTATATAGATTGTTAAACATTGATAAAACAAAAGACAAAAATCGGGATTATTGTATGATTTAATGATTTAATTATTTCTTCAATTACAAATAATATTTTATTGTTTTTTCTCTATATAGATGATTAAACATTGATAAAACAAAAGACAAAAATCGGGATTATTGTATGATTTAATTATTTTTTTAATTCCAATTCAATAAACAATTTATTTTATTATTTTCTTTAAATCATAAAAATAGATTTTGGTTTCGACAATGATGGTATTCTCTAGGATTTATTTTTTAATTCCAGATCAACGAATAAAGAAAATAATTGGTTTTTTTTAAATTAAGCATTGATAAAAGTAAAAATTGGGAATTCATTTGATTTTGGCATTCTGGTTCTGGCGATTATATTAATAAACAATCACTGTTTTGCTTTGTATATATAAATTGATTAATTGTTCCTCTGCTGCAGCTAGATTCGGCCGTGACTTTTTTACAGGTGAACTTCACAACTAAAAATGGAAAATGATCATAAAAAAAATACTATATATCATCAATAACAAGGTTTTTTTCTCTGGGTATATACATATATATAATAAATGCTCAATACCATCAAACAAACTCATTTTGGGTATTAAAAACGAAAATTTAATTGAATAGTTTTCAGGGCTAAAACAGTACCAAATTCAAAATTACAATTAATTAATTTATTATTATTATTATTATTATTACAATTTTAAAGTCTGTGATGTCTAAACTGGTCCCATCTCTCAGAAAAACTATTTATATTTCCATAATCACGATCCCTTATCATTAAAGTGATGCTATTAAGGAATATACAAATAATTCGTAACAATCGATCTCTTTCAACCGGATCACTCAGGTGTGGCTAATTTTAAATGATAAAAAGAATTAAGCAAATGAAAAAACAATCAGTTGCAACATATATATATGCAAAAAGAATGACACTAACTAGCAAACGATGATAATATCGCCTTATACTAATTTGAAGATTGCGTGCTCGCCGACGCAAGCGATATTGTTCTAGACGGCGATTGTAAGCTGCAGGTGTGCGCGCATGTCGTCTACGAACCATCTAAATAGAAGTAGCAGTAGATACAAAGAGAAAAAGGGGTCAGCAAATGCCAAACAAGTTTATAAATTGATACTTCTTCATGGAAAAACGAAAATAAATATATAAAATAAAATTCATGAAGAAGTGACCATCCCTACTCGAAACAAAATGCTCTAAGACACGGCGTAGATTCGGGATCCTAGCCACAGACTTTCGAACACATGCTCAAAGCAGGGAAACATCCCAAAGACGCGACGTAGATTCGGGGTCCTAGCCACAGACTTTGGAAGTTACATGGTAAATAAAAATAAAAATAAAAGGAAACAAGGAACAAAAGGACTTGCCTTTTTGGCTTTTTATATAGTGTTAAATTTTACAAAATTGAATTATCAAAGGATTTAGGAAAATGTTTTTCAGTCACAGAGATTGAATTGGATATATATATATAGAGGGATTGTCTACTTGTTTGAAACTGGATTGGTAAGAGTTTCTGTTTTAGGTACGTTCTATTTTTATCTTTCCAAAAAACAATGTGAATTGGATATATAAAGAGGGATTGTCTACTTGTTTGAAACTGGATTGGTAAGAGTTTCTGTTTTAGGCATGTTCTATTTTTATCTTTTCCGATTACATTTATTAATATTAAAAATATTAAATCCAAAATAACAAACAAATGTTTTTACAAGTATAACCTGTATTTATAGAACTGGTATTCCAACTTCATGTTAAGATTATCTGGAATTGCTAATTTTTGTTTATTAAAGTTAATTAGTTAGTATTCACAATTTTATATTGCTCGCTCTCTTTTTTTTTTTTTTTTTTTTTTTTTTTTCTCCCTCACGTGAGGGAGCGAACGCTCCTGCGGAGGGCCTGCAGAGAGCTTCGCCCTCTGCAGAATTCCCGGGACCATGCATTTACCGTTAAGTTCAATGATGCTTTAAAAAAATAGATTAGTTATCATTATGGTGCATTATTTAATTTAATTATCTAACAA